TTTAAATCTGAAAGAGTTTTATAGTTATACGGAGTAATTTTTTTTTGCTAGAGGCGAAGTAGTATTTAAATAATTAGAAAAATAACAGAAGTTCCTAACATGATTGCATATGATCATTAACCGAATTAAGTNCTTGCCGGTGTCATTGATCCTAAAAATAACTCATATTTTTGGCAAAACAATCAAATGTTGAGACAATGAATGACTCTTTGGATAAAACTTAACTCTTTTATTACTACTTGAACTCTTATTTGGTGTGCTGATATCTCTTAAAAAATATTTCTTTCTTAAAATTTCAGTTTCTAAAATATTATATTTAATAATAATTATTTTTATAATAATGTAATTGAAAATATTATTCTTAATTCAAAACTCATTTTAGTTGGCTATCTAAAAATGTAAAAATTCTTTAGCTAGTGAATTTTGTTTACTCCGTTTTGATATTTGACATTAACCATGTTAAATATATGAGTTATGTGAATTATATGTAAATAACCTTAACATTTAAACCTTCTAAATAATTATAGATAATCGTCAGATATTAATTAAGAATCACTATATGAAAAAAGACTAACATTTTTCCAATTCTCGTAGTGATAATTTTATTTTTTTACTATTCTCATAGGTGTCATTGGAACCTAAAAATAGCCATAAAATAAAATAATAACTCATATTTATGGCAAAGCACAAAGGTCGACACGACATAAACGATTCTTTGATTACGACGTGACTCTTATACTACGACTTGAACTCTTATTTGGTATGATTTTATCTTTCAAAAAATATTTCTATTATGAAATTTCAATTTCTAAAACTTTATATACACGCACACACACACACACAATTATCTTTATACTGATGCAAGTGAAGATATTATCCTTAATTTAAAATTCACTTTAATAAGCTATCTAAAAAATTTCAATTATTTTTTGGCCAAATTTATTTCAGTATGACTCCACTTTAAGTTTATCGATATCTCTAGCCCCAGAATTTAAATTTTTAATACCCTATATATACAAAAAATTTGTTCTTTGAATCATTAAATGTTCAAGTAGTTGATTATTATTATTATAAAACATTGCATATATTGTCTTAAAATTGTCAAGTTGTTCATTTTTTGACACCATACTTGGCTTAACCTCAATGCAAACTACTCAAATTGCATTCCAATTCAAATTCGAATATCATATCAGTTTGTTAGTAATAGTGATTTTTTAAAAACGACACATAATGTAAATTAAAAAAATATTCTAAGATATCCATCTTATAATGAATGTATTTGAGTTGAAAAAAAATATTTGAAATCGATGAGATTAACTTTGAGATTTTTTATACTCAACAAAGATGAAACATAAGAAGAAATTTGTTGTCATCTTTTATTTCTCGTTTTTAGATCTTTCTCACATTTTTTCAATATTTATTTCTTTTATCTTTTTTTTTATGTGATTTTTATTTCACTATAAAAGGATGAGTTTTAATAAAAATTGTCTACATATGAACTTTAATTATGTTTTTAGTCTTTGGTTGATATTATTTCATATTTTTCTTTGGCTTTACATAATCAGCCTAAATATGTGCTCACCCGACTACTTAAATTAAAAAATTGAATGATTGGTAATTTATATATAAACCATATATAATATGTGTATAATCGTGTGTTGTCGGTATATCATCTATTTATATTAGCTATAAAAAGTAAACAATAAATATGGCCGGATATTGTATAAATATTCCATAAGATTTCGGTTTTTTGAGTTTATCCATGATATAACTTATATTATAATATTTTAAAACTCTCTACTAATGTTCAAAATATCTTATCTTTTTATTTTTTTGAATTAAAAAAAAGCAAAGAGTTTTCCCGAAATAATTTGTTTACATTTTAAAAAAAAAAAAATTTCACGTCATACCAATTTTTTCTTTATATATACTCTTTGTTACACTTAAAAGTCACTACAGAAACTATCAATTAGAAACCAATTTCTCTTTTGTTGAGTTTGAAAAAAAAAAACCTTTCACATAATCTAATGATTCAAAACTAATATTCTTCAAAGAAAAAAATATTATACCCTTGCAATATTGGCTTGACTATAGCTAAATGAAGGGATCAGCTTATACCCTTCAACTCCTTGAATGTGCTAAATTGAAATTAAATATAGCAATTGTATAGCTAAAGTTTTGTTATTTGTTTGATGTCCATTTATGCAAATTGACTCTTCAAACAAATATTCTTCAAGAAGAAAAAAGAAACAATTTTTTTTTAATATTGACCGATTTGTGATATTTCTTTCTCCAGCATGTATGTTTACTTTATTATATATGTAAGTAAACTTTTATTTGGTTTTGTATACTCTCTGTTGTTATTTAGATAAACATAGACGTGCAGCCTATATATTACATTTATTTTAAAAGAATTTTTGTTTTATTCAAATCTAGCTACAGTGTTTCAAAGAAATATACTTATAGGATTTTAAATGTGAAAGAGTTTTATAGTTATATGGAGTAGTTTTCTTTTTTGCTAGAGGCGAAGTAGTATTTAAATAATTAGAAAAATAACAGAAGTTCCTAACATGATTGCATATGATCATTAACCGAATTAAGTATGATAACATGATAACAAAAGATATATTTTATTTTTAATAAATTCGAATTTTAGAACTTTATCTATAAATTCAAAATTATCTTTTAATTCAAATTCTGTATATATATATATATATATATAAATATAAAACTAAAATAGTTATAAAATAAAGTTACCATATACTATTGACATTTATTAGCTTGCCACTTGGCTTAATAATAATGTCAATTATATATGATAACTTTTTTGCTTTAATATATATATAGAATATAGATTAGCAAACGATATTATAAATAGGTAGAAGCATTATTACCGATTTTCTACTTTGTTGTAGTGACTAGCTAAACGAAATTTTTTGAAAAGAAAAATAAGTGCCACGTTAGTATTTCCAATTTTAGCTTGACACAATTCCGGACTAATTTCTAATATGAGAAAGCTAGTGTGTATGCCTACTTTATCCCATGACTAGATTTTCAAACTAAAAATTGACTAGGAGATAGAAATTGTCAGCTAACTGCACGTTTTCTTTGTAGTGAAACTAATTCTTCTGCAAATAAATATCAAATTAAACGAATTCGGTTCTTGATTTGACAAAATTCAAGTCACTCAAATTTATTTATTTTTGAAGGGCACTCAAACTTATTATAGCTCCTTAAAAGTATTATCGCTTGCATAATCTAAAACAAAAGTTTGGCCATTCACAAGGGGAGTCAATGAATATTGAAAAACCGACTAAACCGACTGAATCGATTTTTAGGTGTCTTTTAATAGAATTGTAGATTTTTATATAAATCTATAACTATACTGATAATTAGGGTATGTTTTTTATTTTATATAAATAAATCGAAAAAATACTGAACCGTACCGAATAAATTTACATGTGACAAATATATTTATATATTAAGTTTAGAAATGATAAAGCATTAAATTTTTCCTTTGGCATTGGAATTATGAAAGCAGTTACAAGTCAATAAGTAACGAAACTCAAAATCCTAATTCCTAAACCTATTATGCCACTCCTACTGAAACTAAATTATTTCTAACATATTCACTAGCGAGATACTAGCAATTATGAGTAGTAAACTACAATATATTGAATATGTTTCCTTCAGTATAATTTAGATTTATCTTTTTGAATATTTAATCTTTTATAGATTTTATTCGTGAGTCCCAACTTGGTTAATATTTTTCTACTCGTGTGATTTTTTTTTTTTTTTTGTCTTTGCTTAGTTTCTTTTATACTGCAGTAAAATAGTTGATGGATCTATTCTCTGGCCATCTTTCATGTTTTCTTTATTCAATCACCCTCAGTAAAATATCTAGACAGTTTTGCTAAGTCCTACAAAAGTATATATGATGGCATTCTACTTCTTATTTACCCTAAAAAATGAATATCAATTAAATCTATATGTGGTTTTAAGGATATGTGGATTAATTCAATAAGTGTGATTAATGATGTTAGATTAAGAAAATGAAAGACGTAATAAATGGCCAAACCAATGATAAGGGTGATTCCGAACTCGGTTGATGGCTCAATGAGGGACCTGCCCTCGATTCCGAGCTTGCACTTATGAAAAACTTAAGAATAAAATTAAGAACCTTGAATGACAAAGAGAATTTAAATGAATTGCCTTGATATGTGTGTTACAATGTGTCTGATGAATAGTTAGTTTCCCCTTTATATAGTAGGGGAGTTTTACCCTAAATACAATTTTAAGAAAGGTAAAAATCTTCCGTTTCGCTAATCACTGATTTTCTGCCGATACGGGCCGAGATTCACGCCGTGATACCCGATTGTACATGGATATCATGGCCCTTCGTTAGTCGTGTGCAGCCGTTTGATGATGTTCCCCGAAGTCTTGAGACTTGAACCGGACCCGGATGACGTGGTCCTGATGCCTCCGAAGGCAGCTGCTTTGTTCGAACCTCGATACGAGGGGCTCCTTGCCCGGATACTAATTCCTTACGATCACGTCCCTGCTCCGTTTACCTTACCAGGAAACCGAGATATTCAACGGGATCGGTTTTACCCGTATACACTTCTGCCAGTGACTTTTACATGATATTTAAAAAAAAATCGAAAACTAACCGAACCGTACCGATACTGAAGAGGAATCGACATAATTGGACGGTTTCGAAAAGTCTAATTTTGGTTATACATAATAGAACAACCGAAAAATTGGTATGGCATAAATTTTATAAAATAACCGGCAGAACCGAACCATTTACACCCCTACATTCACCTACCAATAAAATTTTAACTTCCAAGAATTTAAGAACTCCATTAAACTGAATATATATTAAAGTATACAACATAAAACTCTAGAAAAAATAAATGTATCCTCTTGGAATTACATTTTTCATGAATCACACAGTAAACAAACAAATATGAATTCACTCCTTTAACATAGCACACAAATTAATAACAAAGATTCCAAGCTTCCATAAGTCTTTTCATAAATAAACTTGCTGTTTAAAATTTTGATTGCATCAGAGCAGCTATGCTTTCATCCACTTGAAAAGCCTTGGCAAGAACATCTGTTGCAATAGCTGGATCCGATCCGAAAACTGCATTAGCAATGGTTATAACACCAGGATTCTGGCTACTCAATGCTGCAATTGCAACAGCATTTCCATTTCCAACGTTGCGTTGGTAGTGAACAAGTCCAATAGGAAATACAAACACATCGCCTTTTTTAAGTACCTTAGTAATAAGGCGATTTTCGGGGTTTGAGGTAACAAAACCAACTTGAAGAGAACCTTCAAGGACAGTGAGTATCTCAGTAGCTCTAGGGTGAGTGTGAGGAGGGTTGATTCCCCATGGTACGTAGTCGACGCGAACCAATGAAATACCAAGAGTGTTCAGTCCTGGTACTTGAGCTACATTGACAGGAGTGACTTTAGAGCCAACAGCATTTGTTGTGTTGCCAGCCAAATGCAAACCACTGAAGAAAAAATCCTCCGCTTGAACTGACTTGGGATCTTTGCAAGCTAAGCCATTTACCCTGGCTAAAACAATGGAAAAATACAGTGAGAAAATTCATAAAACCATTCCTTTTAAATAATAAGAGAAAAATGTAATACATGCTTATCGCGCTATTCATTGATTTGAAATACCTAGGCTAGCAGGATCGGCCACACAGAAATCTTGCATTGGACTTGGCTCAAAAGCTAACACATTAACACAGCAAAAACTTACTACGGCTATCAGATTCAGCAGGAGAAACAGGTTAGCCATTTCAAAACACTGAAAGCCAGAAACTAGGAGGAGCAAAACTGCAAAAGGAAGGAAGAAACTAAATAGAAGAGAAGAAAGATATTTAATTGTGGGATGATATGATTGATAAGTTAGCCTCTGCTTATATAGAAGAGAGGAAAGACTTCATGCATGCAAATGTACTTGAGTTTTGGGGTGTCTTTTGAAAATATTGTAAAGGGCCGTCCAAGCACATATGAAGACTTTGACAAAGATTAGCTGTCATTTGATAGAATTCTTGTAGAAAGAAGACAAGAATAAGAGGTTAGCCGGCTAAGACAAATGGTCCAAAACTGTGTTTTTAAGGATTAACAGTGTGATTCTTGAATACCAAGGATGGACAAGTGAAGGACTAATTCAACTGAGGTCTGATGGACTGCTTCTTTTAAAAATTTATCCCAATCCTTCAAATTAATCAACTGCATATGGAATCCTGCTCTTCACTTGTTCTTATCAATAGTAATGATGTTGTAGAGTTATTTCTATGGATAAAGTTCCTTTTTTTCCACTCATCCCCATTCCTTGGTTATCTGCAGAGATAACGGGACCATATTCATCATGATGTATCCTTTACCAGAGAATACTAAAGTTACAAAGTGTAATAATACGGGATCCTAGTTTTATGATTTTGATTTAGTGCATGTCTTTTGATTTACAAGAAACTACCTATGATATCACAAAAAGGGCAGCCCGGTGCACTAAGCTCCCGCTATGCGCGGGGTCCGGGGAAGGGCCGGACCACAAGGGTCTATTGTAGCAGCCTTACCTTACATTTCTGCAAGAGACTATTTCCACGGCTCGAGCCCACGACCTACCTATGATATCCCAAAAATTGTAATAATATGTTGTCAAAAGTTATTGAAATAGCTGCCTCGGGAAGTAGCCACTACCCGTTACATGTATGAGCGCTTTTGAGCAAAATTAACCCCTGTTAAAAAAGAGGTTTAACTCATATCAAATCGAATTTTGTTCCACAACATAGAAATGTCTTCCTCGTCAAAACCCTTCTCAGCGTTCAAAGGATTTGAAAGAAGTAATTCTTCAAAAACATCAATAACTTATAGAGCAAAATTCATTTTTTTCATTGAGCAAATCTACCTGAAACCTATAGAGGTTTACCAAGGGAAAACCGAAAATGAAAGAACAGGTGTATCAGAAGTATCACTAGAAAGCATACATATTCCATCAAGCTACAAAAGAAGCAAATAAAATTTTCAGGACTAATCACTAGAAGATCCATCATCGTCTTCATGCGCTGCCACAACCTTCTCGAGAAACCTCTTCCTTACTCCATCCAGCACGGCTTCTCTGGACTGTCCCTGCCTGCTACACCCATCATTTAGAACAGGATCTGACTGGCAGAGTGTCAATGCAACACCTGAAATAAAGGAAAATGCAGATCAATCATTTCATCCCCCAATCAGGGCCAGCAGAAAAGAGCAAACATATTGATAATACAATACCTAGCACCTGCTCAAAATTCCAAGAGATTAAATTTAACAGCATAAAGAACTAGAGTTGCTATCAAGGTCTGCTGAAGAATGGTTTGATGCACCAGTGACATTTTCCAGAAAGGGGGCTGCGATCCAGGGTTTTTCCAAGGGTATAAATACTATCACATGATTCATTAAAATTACTGGTTAGGTCTCGCATGTACAAGATTAACTGCTATGTGACTTACAACAATTCAAGGAATTCTTCAAATACTAGCAGGCAAATCGAGGTAACAGGAGAGAACTTGCCAAAAGAATGACAAAACCTATGAAAAGGTTATGAAGGTCAATGGGCACAATTCCAACTTCTAGATCAACCCATGGTCACAACCTAAGTTTCTCGGATTCTTCACCTTCGGTGCCGCACCCGTGTCGACACGACATGGGTATGGGTGTGGGTGTGGGATCCGTATTGGATCTAGTCAACCTATTTTGGGTACTTTAACTAAAATCGATGGAGAAATTCGGAATAGATACAATGTGTTTTGAAAACAAAACAAAAGCTAAGGTGATGTTGAAGAAAATAGAATACCTTCTATATAGAAATTTCTATGTTGTCCTTTTCCTTTTATCTCCTTCTTGGATTCTTCTCTTTTTCAATATCTTCTACTTCTCGGAATACCTTGTAAGTTTTTCACCTAATGTCTCATAATTTAGATATATTTTTCTAGTTCTATTTCTAAATATTTGAATTATTTTCAGCCGAATTCCGACACCTGTATCGGTACCTGGATCCATAACTCCGAATCTTAAAATTTAGATCATGAAGAATCTGACCTCTAGATCTGTACCAGTATCGGACACCCGCACCCGAGTCTAAGCAACTTAAGTCACAACTATGTTGAGATATTTTATGGACCACTAGGCCACACCCTTGGGTGCATAGTCGGTGTGGTTATATTTTAGTATCATGAGAGATATGCTGATAGCTACAAGCCTACAACACACTCTTGAAGTAATTTCAGCAGGTATCAACTAATTTCAGTAGTAGTACCCACCCACAGCCCCTCTTGGTGCAACAGGACCAACTGCCACCAAAGAAGAAATAGACCATGTTGCAACAACAACAAATGAGAAAATAAAAGAAAGGCCCTGCTCAAGCTTTACAGCAATTATACAAGATCTTAAGAGAAAATTCCTAGAAAAGAAGAAAAGTTTTGTTAATTGTTCAAGCCATGGTTATAATATGGATTTACCCATATAGCGTCTGAATGAACAGCCTACACAAAAATATTCATACAGGAAGGTAGATGGCAGTGGGCACAACACTGTAAATGAACCCAGCAAATTACTACCACTTGAAAGAGTAGTAAAAGGAAGTTGACCCAGAAAGTCAACAACTTCGTTAAATCATGCAAAAAGAGAAAGAAAGAGAAAGAGTTGGGGTAGCAATGGGACAACCACTATGAGGAACATACCTTCGGGTGTGCATCTCCGACCAAAACTATGAAGCCCAACATAATTTGACTTCAATGCACTGTTGTTGTACACCAAAACAGTTGGAAGATTACAATCTGGATAGTTCGGAATGCAATCTGTAGAGATAATTTTGACAAATTTTGTTGCAGGGTATTTTGTTGCCAATTCTTCTAAGCACTGCAAAAGTATCTGGCAGCCTGAGTATCTATAAAGAGCATAAAATGCTATTAGAAAGACTGGCATGGAGCTAAAAGAGAGAAAAGAGTACCATCTAGGCATAAACATATTTGAAGCTCAAGAGTGCGATGTAAGCTGGCTACGGTGATGAAGAGATGAAAGCATTACTTACCCATCCTTATACAGAAGAACAACCACCCAGATATCTTCTGGAGCTTGGGAAACCTCACGCACAAAATCCGATCCAGAAATTGGTATCACTGATCCAAATCTCACAACCTTAGCAACTTCTTTCATCTCGGCCAACCTCTTCATCCTTTAACGATAACACAGGAAACACATATAAGACACACTCAACTTCATATTAGCTCTCAAGCTATATGGCAATATCTCATAAGAACTATATCAGCGTGATTGCATGTGCACTTTTGCATTGTGTAGCTAATAAGGAGTAAACTGAAGTTAACCAAGTTAAACAAAGGCAAATTCTCAAGAGCACGTCAACCACTAACAAAAATATAATGCCAAAATTGCTTTTATACCATAGTTTCTTAAACAAGACCCAAGAAACTAATCCCACCCAAAGATGAGTACAAGAAAAAAATGCACTTGGTTTGTTAATCATAACACAATTCTATAATGCTCACTTCTTTGCTTTGGAAATAGTTTCTTTATTCGACTTGCATTCTGAATTTTTGTTTTATTGAACAAAGGACCAAATCGGCCAGACTTTAAAGGATGGATACAGATGTAGAGGGTGGGGTATGAATAGATAACACAACATCCGTTGAAACATATGGAGATACAAAGGGATACAAGAATGTAACAACATAGAGTCGAGGAAATTAATGAATAATTGGAGAACCTCTAAAGGAAGACACTTTTGAAAATGAAAAGATGATCGGATGGAACTTTAAGTAGTCTGAGAGAATAGTGAAGGGTTGACTAGTAGCAGTACGGGTACATGTAGAGGCTGAACAACTACTAGGCTTACCTCAAACAGAGTGCCATGTTTTAGAGGTCCAAACAACTGCTTTGCAAAGGAAGTGGTACCCCATATATGTTTGTTTATCGTAAGTACCTTATATATGTTCATTAAGGTGGGGAACAAATGATATACAGTCCCATTACAAAAAGCAGCTCAAGAACGGGACATTAATCTATCATGTCTCTTTATTGCATTTTGTTGTACAGTGAAATAGATGGTTAGGAATGACGGCTTATACTGTAATCCATGAACAATTCTCAGTTAGTAAATTTCATAACACTCTTTTTGTGCAGTTTCAGTTTACTTTAAACATGATTTTTACTTGAAAATGATTAGGAAGAGAGAAGATACCATACAGCATCCTCTTCGGTTATGAAGCTAACATGAAGCCCTTTCACTGATAACAGGAAAAGAGAATGGAAAATAATTCACCTACATTGCTGCACTTTTTGCAAGAAAGCAAAGAAGACAGCAAATCAAATTTAACTCCAATGTGAGTGCATGAAAACATTCTAATATAGGCCTATTCTATTGGATCTTATTTGTTCGGCTGGCTTGAAAAAGCTCCTTTGTCCTAACCTTGGTGGTACGGCTTGCACTATGCCTTCTATTTTAAAAAAAAAACTGATCTTGGCAAGTTGTTGTTACATTGACAGAGACACCTAGAAGACAACTCTGAAATGCTTATGAGGTGATTTTTTTTGGCAGTGGCGTTCCAAAGGGAGGAAATGTCATTCGAAAGGTTCAACCAATCTCTGTATAACCTTAAACTGGTGACGCACGAACAAATATCCTATTTCCCATCTTAATCTGTAGCTTAGGATGAGAAGCTAGCACAGATGCTTCTTTTATGATTACATCAGCTTTGCAGCTGCTAAGGCCACAGCTACCTCATTCATCTACAGCCACATTTCGGTACTTAGTTTTGTGATATAAAAGACCACAGTTTGTACTAGGTAATAACTTAGCGTTTTATAAATGACACTAAAGCTCCTGACACTTCAAAGGCTCTAACAAATCCTAAGGTTTGATTAGTCTGTGTATGCTAAGAAAATCAGGAAAAGAA